CCCCTTGCCCTTCCAGCGGTCCCTTCACCCCTGGCAAGCAGGACCGGCCAAACGCCAGACCCCGCACGGCTGTCTCCTCCCCGCCGCCTCCTGGCCCCTCCCCCAGCCACAGGAGGGTGGAAAGAAAGCCCCGGGAGGACTCCGCAGCCCCAGAGCCCCCTTGGCACTGCCAGCTGCTCCCAGTGGCAGCCTCCCCCCGCCCAGCTCAGCCCCCCTCTGCTCCACCCCGCAGCCTTCTCTGCCCCTGGACCAGCCAGGTCTGAGCGTGCCTGGCGCTGGGGTGTCTTCCTCAACACCGCACCCCCACAAAGCCCCGAGCCTGCTGGCGGAGACCTGGCAGCCCCCCGAGCTCACAACGGGACCTCACAAGCCCACTGGTGCAAGGCGGGAGCAAGTGAGGCAGGTCCCCCCCACTTCCTCGCGGCGCCTTGCCACCCCCTCCGACAAGCCCAGTTCAGCAGCCCCGTTTCACAGACAGGGAAGCTGAGGCCCGGAAGGACAGGGAGGCTAGGTCACAGTCACGCAGCAAAGCCGGGGCACAAAAAGGGTTAGGCATAGGCATTCGCCACTCCCTGCATGTTTCTGCAGGCCCTGCCACCGCACCCTCCAGAGAGGTAGCAAGGCAAGAAAGGGTGCTGTGCCATGGGACTGCAGCGTCCTTAAGCTTCAGCCAGGCTTCTGACCAAGTCCCACACAACCTTCTCAGAGGGAAACATCATCTAGACAAAACTACTACAGGCTGGACAAAGAACTGGCATACCAGCTGCTGATGTTTCAAATGCGCAGTTACCACAAGTCAGACACCCCAGAAATTCAGGTCTTCAAACCATCAGTTCACAGCACAGCCTCCTGACTGTAGTCCCGCCGTGGAGCTGCTCCTCTCTTCCTCCCCCAGCACCCAGGAAAGCTCCCTCTGTTCACTGACTCCCAATTTGGGACACGGTCTAGGTAAGAATAAGTCGCTTTCTTTTATGTATATGCACACATGTGTATAATACATATAGGTATCACTGTATGTGTACATGTATATGTATGTGTATACGCATATAGCTTTTAAATGCATAGAGAAGGATGGACATTTTTGTTATAGTAACCAATGGGGCAGGTTATGTGTTCAACCTGTGTGTTTCTATAACTGACCCCCATCGCGCATTAGTCTGCCACAGACTTGAAATTAAAGTATGTGCCCAACTCAAGCTGGAGTGACTTGTTTTTAGCTTTGGAGGTCACCATTTTAGTCTTCAGTGACAGTCAATACTATCATTGATCTACATCACCCCAGCAGTCCGTTGCGATGGCGTGGTTAAGATATACCAACTCCTGCGGTCAGCAGTACAGTAGTGAGTAATATAGCTGGCATCTGTTTTTAACTCCTCAGCCTGAACGCCCAAGTACCCAATTACAGCTGGGTTGACTAAAGGCAGCTTTTTGGCAAGAGGCTCAAATTCACATCATTGAACCACAAAAGAGAGAGCTGAACCCCTCTACCCCTGCAGCCCCAAAATAAATAGCTGACACAAAACGGATTCCTGCTCTCTTTACTCAGGAAAACATCCTATGTTTATTAACAGTAAATGCCATATGTCTGTGTGTCCTGATACCGCAATGAGATCAGCAAAGGTGAAACAAGAAAGGTCAATAGTTAGACAAGGCAAGAGTCCCTCCTCTATCTGCTGGAAAAGTTCAACTTTATGAGATACAGAAGGCAACACAGGGTGGTACTTTATAGACAAGTTTGTTCAGAGAGGCATGAGTTTTTGCAGATTATCGCCTCAGGAGCTCAGGACCAGATTAGTCCTTTAGTAGGTCCTAGGCAAAAAAACTCATGGCAACTTTTTTCACTCCATAATTATAATATGTAAAATAAGCACAACTGGGCCCCTTCACTTAGGGCCCTAGGCATGTGTCTAGTTTGCCTATGTGTTAATCCAGCCCTGCAGGTGCTATGAATGGACTTACAGAGAGATGGGGTATTAAAATGAAAGAAATTAAGTCATTTGAATACACGGAATATAAAGGATAGGGAAAGGGGGAGGTAAGAAATGGGCACTGCTGAGAGGAGAAAGTGGGTAGAAGAGATTAAAAGGGATAAAAAAAAAAGAAAAAGCACATGACTGACTACCTCTCTCTAATTATAAAATACAGTCCATTTTCCGCAGACATGATAGCAACCTCTGTGAAACTCAATCTAGAGAAAAATTCTTTGAAGAATGGTCATCTTTTCTCCTGTCCTAAAAAAAATGCCTATAGTTTCACACTGGGAGGATTGGTGATGAATTAAATAGAACCCTGGTAATCAGCAAAACTACAGTGGCAATTCTCATAAAAAGTCTTTACAGTCATACCCCGGTCCCTCAGCAAGCATAACTGTGATCAGGTTCAGTATTATGTGTGGACACCAAACATTTCACAACGTGGGTCTGGTTGGTCCCCCATGCATCCCACATTGCATCGTTCTTTCCCTCCTCCCCCCAGCGCTGCAACTGGCTGCAGCCAGAACTCTACTGCCCATTTTTTTCCCTGTTCTTGGCACCTTTTATCAATGAACATCCGTGCCTTGCTTATTCAATAAAAGCAATATTTCTAACAGCTGTTCTCTCACTACTTACATGTCCATGGTCCATCGTCATGTTCTCCCAGCCCCTGGGAACTCAAAAGAGTAGGTTCAAGAACGCCCCCATCTCCAGCGCATCCCAGGTCAGGCAAGTGCACTGCTGACTTCAGGCAACAGCAGGCTTTTAGAGTTTATTGAACTCTTGCTCAGGAGAGAAAGAAAAGCTGAGGAGTGAAAGTGCTCCCAGCCACATGTCACTCACCCATTGGGATCCCAAAACATGCATGCAAGTGGTCCCTGCCATTCATCCAGTGCAAGGCATGCTAGGCTGGGTGCTCATCCCATTCCCTAGTATTAGTCACAGCACTTCATACACAATTTCCCAATCAGTGAAATTTGGGAATGGTTCAAATGTTACATGGGTCCACACCCTATATACAGTATATGCAATTTCATTACTTTGACTAAACATACTCCGCAGTACTCTCACGTGTATACGGGGCAGATCCAGAGGGTGCAGTGGTACAGTTGGAGCCCCCTTCCTGACCGGCTTTTGATTCCTGCTCCACTCAAACTTTAAAATCAGCTGCTTGGGGAGGGGTGGCAGTGGCAATTCCGTTCAGGCAGCACTGATGGAGTCAACTGACTTCATGGCTCATTAAAATCTATCTGCTAATTTAACTCCACAAGTGTTAAGGACCCTCTCTCCTTTTCTAATGGTCTCAATGTTCCACTATTCAAACTTATCCTTTCTTCTAAAATGTTGCTGTCTGCTAGCCATTTCCAGTAATGTCTCTCTTCGGTTTCACAGCCCTGCAGTCTGTTTTTAGTTCTAGCTAAAAACCTTAACTCAGGCATAGTAATATACACTCAGGTGTAGAAATGACTGACTGTAGTATTGGAGGCACTGTCAAAATGCTCAAGACAAATCAACTTTGTTTTACAAATCTGAATAAGGGAGGTACATTTAACTGTAATGACTACAGTACTAATGAAACACTATCTTTTAACTATTTTGACTGTTTTTTTGTCTAGTTTGTTCTGTATTTTTAACTGAACATATAATCTAGCAACTCAGTGCACATTCCAATTAGATTTGTTTTTGCTTTGATCTTAAACTGAATAATATAGTGCTAGGTCTCTGACATATTAATAAATATCTTCTAGCTTTTCTTTAACTGGAGAAAAATAAATGGTGTGTCATATGTGAAGGTAACACCACATCATCTGCACCCCCTTTTTCAGTATCCTAAATCCATCTATCCACATATACCATACAGATTAATCACAAATCATTAAAATGAAACTCCCATTCTGATAATAAATGATCAAAGTATATTTGGCAACTCAGGAGATTTGGCTTGCTTTTTATTTTATTTTATTTTATTTTAATATTTGGGCATCAAGTGAGTAATGAAATGAAAAAATAAGCAGGCCAAATCCAGCAGTGATACAGGTGGCTCCTTTTTTCATCCTGGCTGTTTCCAGTGGTGTCAGCACAGATATCTCAGGTGTCTTTGGAAAATATTTTATAACCCCAGTGAACAGCTTTCTAGTTACAACCTGCCAATCTCCATTTCTGTGGTTGCAAGAGGGTAATAAAGTGCTAGAGCAGTGGCACTCAACTTTTTTGCCCTGCCAGCCAGATGGGCAGGGCCCAGTTCATCCATGGGCCGGATTCTGCAGGTGGGCCCGATCCAGCCATGTAGAGGTGGACAGGAGCAGCTTGGCCCTGACCCAGCAGCATGGCAGGAGGAGGAGGAGCATACCCTGTACCCCAGCCCCAACCTGGGCCTGGAGGGGGAAGGGCATGGCCCAGCCCCAGCTTGACTGCATGGAGGGAAGGAAGCATATCCTGACCCCAAGCTGATCCTGCAGGAGGCAGGGACTGTGACCTGGCCTGAACTGGCCACACAGGGGAGGGGGAATGACCCAGCCCTGAATCTGCCATGCAGCGCTTAGGAATTTGGCAGTGGGGGAGGATAGAAGTATTAATTGCCACAGCTCCCTCACCACCAAATTTCCCGACCCATAGGGATGCCATGGCTCTGTGGCTGCATTTTGAACACCCCTATGCTAGAGACTACGCCAGGCTGTCAACACTTTTCATATTAAAACATGTCAGTTCATTTTGTGGATGCTACAAGCAGCCATCTTGCTGCCCTACTTCAGAATCCATACCTTTACTCCTTTAGGTTTATCAGTTAATGCTAGCACAGGCAGGAGCACATAGCAACATGCTGAGGCAAGAGGGGGAAGCACAACAGTGGTTCTCAACTGGGGGGGCTGCCAGACAAATGTGGAGGA